TTACGATGTCATCTATGGTTTTGATTTTGTCGGGATTGATCTCGATCCCTCAATTGGATACCATGAAAAAATTTTCCCAATTCGACCCCGAATGTGCACTTCGCTGGGTTCAGCTTCATATTGTATTTCTTCAATATGTCAAAGACTTCCTACAAATGTTTCAAATGGTCCTCTACTTGCAGGGACTTGACTAATATATCGTCAATATAAACTTCCATTGATTTTCCTATTTGTTCTTCGAACATCCGGTTTACAAGGCATTGATAGGTGGCTCCGACGTTCTTTAATCCGAACGACATTACATTATAATAGTAGGTGCCAAATTTAGTGATAAAAGAACTCTTTTCTTGATCGTCCAGGTCCATCCAAATTTGGTTGTACCCGGAATAGGCATCGATAAAGCTCAGTATCTCATGCCGGGTCGCGTCGATCATTCGATCGATGTTAGGAAAATGAAGAGAATCCTTGGGGCATGCCTTGTTTATATCTTTGCAGTCTACACACCTTCTTAGCTTATTTCCCTTTTTAGGCACCACTGCGTTAGCTAACCAGTCCGAGTATTTAACTTCCCGAATGGACCCTATTTCAAGGAGTTTGGATACCTCGTCCTTGATGAATGCATGCTTGACCTCGGACTGTGGTCTCCTCTTCTATTTAACTGGATGCAACTTTGTGTCCAAACTCAGCTTGTGAATGGTTACTTTCGGGGGGATCCCTGTCATGTCGAGATGGGACCAAGCAAAACAGTCTATATTAGCTTTAAGAAATTCAATGACTTTTTTCCTGAGCTCGGGAGTTAACCCTGTGCCCAAGTATACCTTTCGATCTGGTAGGTGGTCGATCAATATGACTTGATCCAACTCCTCGACCGTCGATTTGGTGGCGTCGGTGTCATCAGGAGCTATGAATGATCTCGGAACTTCGTAATCATCCTCCTTGTCTACTCCTCGCTCCTCCGATTCGATTGGGACCGGCATCGGTGATTGCTATTTAATTTCTTCCTTTCTAGCCGGCTCCGTGTTCCTTACTATCGAGACGACAGACAATGGGAATACTTCATCGACTGCGAACATCTCCTTTGCGGTTGGCTGTTCTTCGTAGACCGTCTTAATTCCTCCCAGTGCAAGGAATTTCAACGCCTGGTGTAGGCTCGAAGGTACCGCCCTCATGTTGTGAACCCATGGCCTTCTGAATAGAGTGTTATATCTCATGTCCCCTTCGATCACATAAAACTATCTCTTGGATCAACCCGGTGGTGTTCCCTGTAGGGTTATCTCCCCTTTAGTGGTTTCGCATGCCATGTTAAATCCATTCAACACCCGGACTGCCCGCACTATTTGATCTTGTAACCCCAATTGTTGTACGACCCTCAATCTGGTGATGTTGTCCGAGCTACCTGGATCAATCAACATACGTTTAACTCGAGATTTATTGATGAGTACGGATATTACCAGTGCATCATTATGAGGTTGTACGATGCCCTCGGCATCCTCGTTGCTGAACAAAGTGGTTCCCTCTAGGACATAATATTGGGGTGCACTTTTCCCTTGTGATGGATACTTTAATGCGCATTATCATTTGTCCTTGGGGGACATCGACCCCTCCAATAATCATGTTGATGACGTGCCGAGGTTCCTCTTGTTCGCTCTATTTGTTGACATCCCAGTTCCTGAAGTGATTTTTGGCTCAATCACTCTGAAATTCTCATAGGTGCCCGTTATTAAACAACCGGGTAACTTCTTCTCTCAACTGCTGGCAATCCTTGGTCCTGTGGCCATGAGTGCCATGATAATTACACATCATGTTAGGATCTCTTTGGTTAGGGTCGGACTGCAATGGTCGAGGCCACTTGGTTTCCTCGATGCGCTCGATGGCTGATACAATGCTGACAACATCAACGTTGAAGTTATACTCTGATAATCTTGGTGCTTCCCTTCCCCCGAGTGGCCCGTCGAAACCATTTTTGCTCATCAGACCTCAGCTATTAGGCCCTCGGTCGCTTCGCTTTTCGTTCCTTGTAGGGTGACACCCAGACTCGTTTCCCCTTTTGTCTGTGCTATTTGGTTGGTACTGATCTCGTATCGGCCTTGATTCATGATCGACGACTCTCTTAGACTTTTCGTCATCTCTGATGGGATAAACGATCCAGAAGGGGCTCCAAGTTGGTTGTCCTTGACTCTGATTTTTGACTGGTACCTGTTGTGGACGTCGGCCCAAGTTACTGCCGGGTACTCTACTAAATTTTATTTTTGCTGCTGCGAAGCCAAGGAGCTTTGGAGGTTAAGTCCTTGAGTGAATGCCTGAACGGCCCAATCATTAGCAACCAGAGGCAGGTCCATCCGTTCCATTTGGAACCATGACACGAACTCCTTGAGCATCTAGTTATCTCTTTGTTTAACCTTGAAAAGGTCCGATTTTCTGGTCTCAACCTTGATTGCCCCGGCATATGCCTTAACAAAAGCATCTGCAAGCATAGCAAATGAGTCAATGGAATTTGGGGGTAAGTTGTGGTACCATATCATTGCTCCTTTTGACAGAGTCTTCCCAAACTTCTTTAGTAACACCGACTCGATTTCATCATCCTCCAAGTCGTTGCCACTGATGGCGCATGTGTAGGAGGTCACATGCTCATTCGGATCCATGGTTCCATTGTATTTCAGAATATTCAGGCATATGAAACCTTTTGGATCGGCTTTGGTATCACTCGGAGGGAAGGGATTTTTGATGAATTTCTTGGAATCCGGTCCTTTCGATATCGGGGGTGCTCCCGGGATTTGATCAACCCTGGAATTATATGTCTCCACCTTCTCATCGTTGGCCTAAATTTTTTTCTAACCTGATTCCACCCGCTTCGTCAATGCTTCAAGCATTTTCATTATCTCGGGGTTGAACCCGGGCTCAGCTTCACCCGACCTCTCGGTGGTTTGTTGTTTCTTCGGGTGTTCTCCCGGTACCGTTCAGGCTCAACCCTGCCAGGGGCATGGCCGATTCTTTAGTTGCGCTATCGCTGCCTGTTGATCCTGCAACATTTTGAAGATTAGCCGCAAGCTTACCCTATCACCTTAGCCTTCGGGCGTTTCTCGAACTATTGGTCGGGGACCTCTACGAATGCTGTTTTTGGGGTAAGTTGGCAGGTTGACGTTGATAGCAACCTGTGAATTGGCATCCGTTGGATTGACAACTAGGACTCTGTTGGGATCAGCAGGGGGCACCTCATTGCTAGGCACCAGATTGTTATTTTCGCCATGATGGCCAGACTTGTCCTCAACGTTCAAGTGGGCAGACTTAGAATTTGACATTTTTAAGCTGACCTGAAATTGAGACTTTAAAAATAAGCGTAAAATAGAGTGTGTTATGGAGAATTATATCAAACCACCACTATTATCCTTAGCTCCACGGTGGGCGCTAAACTGTTTATCTTTAAAACGGATAAAGATTAAATTTGTACGTGGTTTTAACGATATGCGGATAGATTTAACACAAATAATCAAGAATATTGGATCAATGAGTTAAAGACAAAATGAACAATCAAACCAATTGTTATATCACGGCATGGCTTGAACTTAAATTGAACAGTGGTTTGCCTTCGATCGGATCCTTGGTTCGAAGCCACTTATGAACGAAGAACAAACAGTAAAATAAGAACTCTGTGATAGCTAAAGAACAAAGAAATGAGTTTGTATTGCCTTGTTTCGCGTGTTACAATGTGTCCTATTGAATAAAAAGCTTCCCCTTTATATAGTAGAAGAATTTCATGCCTAGTACAATTCTAAAAAAGATAAAAACCCTCCTTTCTCGTTAATTATTCATCCATAACCGACATCGGGCGAGATCTCCGCCGTGACATCCGGTTGGGTGCGGATATCACGGCCCTCTGTTAGTCGTTTGCAACCGTTTGCCATGTTTTCTGAGGTCTTGGAGCTTGTTCTGGGTTCGGGGAGTATTGCTTCATCATGCTTGACGATGGGCACATCGTTCACCGGTTATAGGCCTCGGCACGAAAGGCTCACATCCTAGATTTCAATCTCGTATGTATGTGCCCTTCTTCCATCTTCCTCATCAGGAAATTGGTAGGCACTACTTCATATTTCACCCGTATACAGATAGTCCCCTTATTTTTCGGAGAGTGGGTTTGCCGGAATGATGGAAAATGAATAAATGAACTCCGGTTTCTTCCCTCGTACATTATAACTGAGGTGAAGGATAAATCGAAATGTCCCATCAATCGCATCGTTCTGACTTCGGACACGTGTCCGTCATCTGCTGGCTGTCTTCGAATGTGAAACGCCGCACAATGATTGCATTTTCCCCTATAAAAGCTTCAACCCTCTTCACTTTTTTCACTTTCTGATCCTAACTCTTACCTCCGAACATTATAACGACTTTCAACTTTCAACTTCCAATTTCACCTGTATACAGATTTAATATAGAATACTGTGTAATATCGTTCACTCCTGAGCTGAGGGTTTATCGAAAACATCCTTTCTACTTCACAAAGTGTGGATAAGACCTGCCTACACGCTATTCTCTTCAAACCCACTTATGGAGTTATACTAGATTTTTTTGTTTTTTCCGTGTGTAATATATTAATATCATTCGCATGGCTGGTAAATACATTAGGTAAACATATCTATATAGGTCAAAGGGCCAAAGCCAGAAGTTTGAGAGTTCTAAATAATGTAAAACCACTTCCTAGTATATGTCAAATCATCAATTTGAAGAACGATAATTTTGTATATGTTAAGACCATATCTATATATTAGATGCTCTATTGTTCGATATTTTAACTAGTGAGGGGGAGTTGGAGTGAGAATACATTATCATAATAATATTTTTGTACTAGTAATGCAGGATCTTATATCTAAATTAAACGTTGCCATAAATAATGATAATTTATTTTAAATGTTTCTATTTCTCGAACAAAAAATATCTTTCAGTTGAATTCATCAAAAAATTGATTGTTCAAGTTACAAAAAGATCATTTTTTTCTCTCTGGGAAAATGGATCCCCAACCTTATGCACCTCAATACACAATACCATCCAAACCCTCAGACGTTGATCAAGACATGATCAAACCAACCTTTAAAGAAATGTTAACCACTTCAAATCCGATGTTCTTCACAACTACTGACAACCAATCCAACATAAATTTTCCAAGTATTGGTTCAGAAGAACTCATAGTAGATCATACATCTTTAACACATAATCGAGGTATCAAGTTCATCTCACTCACTGAGGAGGAGAGGCAAAGAATTTACGAGCCATGGAAAAATTCCATCATTGTGAAACTAGTGGGCAAAAGAATGCTACATCACTATCTAAAGAAAAAAATTCAAGAACTATGGAGACCAACGGAAGATTTTCAATTAATTGATCTCGGAGAAGCCTACTACATCATAAAATTCAAGAGGAAGGAAAATATGGATAAAGCTATACAACAAGGACCTTGGTTCATCAACGGGCACTTCCTCTCCATTACAAGATGGAAGCCAAATTTTGTTGCTACCAAAGAGAAAGTAACAAATTCGGCAGTATGGGTTAGACTTCCCCAATTGCCTACTAAATTTTACGATGAAAAAATTCTAGAAAAAATTGGTAATGCTATTGGCCGGCTACTAAAAATAGACGTTTGCACATCAACCACCCTGAGAGGTCGTTATGCAAGACTATGTGTGGAACTCCCGTTGGAAATCCCAGTCCAACCCTTTCTTTATGCTGGACACCACAAACAAGTAATCCACTATGAAGGAGAAAATTTCCTTTGTAAAAATTATGGACGACTGGGACCCATAGCAAAACAATGTACCTACATTATTCACACAATAAAGGAAAATGAAGAACCAAACATGGAGCAACCAACAACTACAAAGGCTGAGGAGATACAAGAAGAATGGAAAACAGTTTCTTTTTCCAAAGGAAAGCAACAAGGTGCAAGAGGTAACCAAAAGCATCTCAATGCAAATCCGATCAAAAAATCAAATGGCCCACGTATCTCAGTTAAATTGTTCAATACTAATACTGGTAAGTACTTAGATACACAACTCTTACAATACAAATCTAAAGATCATAAGAATGCTTCTCCTTCATTACATACACAAAATTCAGAATCTACGGCCACTATGATTGGAGATCACACCAACTTAGCAACAAAAAACAACTTTTCCCTTCTAACTGAAGAGCCAATGATTTTGGAAGAAACCACCAAGAGAGAAAAAATCCAAAAAGATAATATGAAAAATTGCCATGCAATTGAACAAATGTCCATAATTAACAAAGATATTGACATGTTGGACACAAACGTGTCTTCTTCTATTAGTCCTACTAATCACATTACCAAGGTGGCCATGCAAGATTATCATCTAAATGACCATACTACCTCTATTAATAATTATAAAGAAACTGTCAAAACTAACCCTACTAACAAGCAAATTGGTAATAAGCCAACGATTACCCAAACCCTCAAGCAAAATCTTTCATCAAGATCTGATCATCCCACCTCCCCTAAGCATGCCATCCAAATGGCAAAGGGGAAAGAAAAAACTGGACAAGTGGCTGCCAACCTAGAGCATGCAAAGGATATGAAAAATCAGCCTATAAATCTCAATCTTGGGGACTCAAACGACATACAAAAAAGTAGTTTCAATCATTGCTCTATCAACCAATCCCTCCCATATATCCCATAGCCCCTTCCCCACGCCTAAGTTAGAGCATTTAAGTACTCAAAACCCCGGTCACAATGCCCAGCATACCATCATCTCTACGAAGGAGACACAAACTTCTCCAAATACTTCACCAACACAGAATTGCCATGGAAAACCTTCTACCTCTACACCCTCAACCAGAAAATCCATAAATAATTTATGTTCAACCACCACAAACACAGGATTACCAACCTGAATCATGGATGAAGATGGGCCTGATGGGCCATGCATGCACGTTCAACGTCCAGATAAATGGCTAGGACTCGATCATCATCCTCCACGACACTCATACCTAGCCCAACTAGTGACAGAAGGTATGAGGTTGGCCATGAACAATTACCTCAATCAGGCATGGCTCAACAACATCCTTCAACCCCTAGCACCCTCAGTGAATCCCAAACTCTTCCATGCAATGAGGAACCAATGGAACTTACCTCCTCACTTTAATCTGATCTACCAACAAAATGCTCTCCTAGATATGCCCTTCTTCATTCTAGAGAATCTATCTCAGCTGAATCCCATATTCCTACCATGGGAACAACCTCATCCAGCCCAGGAGCCACAAATACCACCACCTCATCAACAACCTCCTTCTCCACCCCACAATCACGTGCTTGTACCAGAACCAGTAGAGGCAGAAATGGAGGAGGAGGAGGAACCCCTCAATCTACTCTTAGAAAGAGTCCTAGAAATCTCAAGTCTCGACGGAGTAAAAGTGTTTCTCTTCACAGAGAGGCAAGAGAAGAGGCACGTGCTTAGTTGCCCACTAGCATTATACAAATGCTCGATGGACATAAGACCACCTCAGGATCCAACAGTGGGAAACAGAGCCATGATCCTAATTCCATCAATGAGGAGGAACCCAGTCCTAGGGGCAGTGAGGGAGAATGGGATCTGGCCAACGCAAATCTTAATATCTCAATGAATCGACCTACTAATATTATCATTTGGAACATAAAGGGAGGGAACAATGATAACTTCAGGAGAAACTTCAGGGAAATGGTAGATACACACAGACCTTGCATGGTGGCTTTATTGGAAACTAGAATGTGGAATCATGTGGAGTTGCTGTATGATTTTGGGTTTACAGAATTGATAGAAGTTCCAGCTGAAGGCCAGGCAGGAGGGATAGTGGTTCTATACAACCATGAAATTGTCACTGTTCAGAATTTGGTTCGAAGGGATCAGGAAATTCATGCTACGATTGAGGTCAGTCCACTACAACAAAACTGATATTTTGCTACGAAATTATTAGCTACGACATAAAATTCGTCACTAATAGTTTACTTTTCGTGACAAAAATTACATTTCGTCTTTAAATACATAAGCCACATACTTTTAGTGACGAAACACAATATTTTGTAGCAAAGTTTTGTCCACTAAAGTTTCCCACCAAAAAGTGAGTTGGCGCCAATTATTAAATAATATTAACCACGAATTTAAAATTATCAGTGACACATTATTTTGTCACTAATAATGTACCCAATTGGGGACGAAGCATTATTTGTCTTAAAAATAATTAAATTTTGGATACGAAAAAGTTTCGTCACAGAAGATATGTTATTACAATAGTGACGAATTAGAATTTGTAGCTAAACAAGGTAAACTTTAGCCACAAAATTTTATATTTATTTGTGACCTTAATTTTTGTCGCTGATACTGCAAATAATTAGTGACAATTATTTAATTGTCTCTATTGAACATACAATTTAGTCACAAAAAAATTTTGTCACAAAATATACCATTTTTAATTTGCTACGACTTTTGTAGTTGAATTGTGAGATTATTAGCTACGAAATTATTTTTTAGTAAAAACTAAAAGATCGTACTTTGTAGATAACTATAATTCTAGAGGTTTGTTCATGCAACATACATATAATTACTTTAAGACTACTTGAAATTGACATTGAAATAATCATCTTTAACAATTATCAAGTTCGAGAAACTAGAACTCCATTTTTACTTATGTTAGAAATTTTAGGAGTATTTTTCCTTCTAGCACAATTCAATTTCTTGTTGGGGAGTATCATGTTTATTTAATTTCAAGTAGGACATGGATCATTCAATTTGATTCTTAGTAAACAATTTATGCCGTGAATTTGCCTTAAGTTTCAAATTAATGTACCTTTTTTTTTATTTTGTCTTACTAAACTTGCAAGATGATTGTTGTTTGTTTGATTAGAAGGAACACAATTTTTATTCTAGAAAATTGCACATTATATATCAATTTAAAATATATGCCTGCAATATAATATTGCATCAAATTATATTTCTAATTAATATGTTCTTTTTATATCTTATTAAAAATATCCTACGGACTTACTCGTGCGATCAAATGCCAAAATAACATTTTTAATAAAGAATTTAGCATCGAAATCTAAGAAAAATCTCAAGAACTCTTAACTTCAAATTTTCACAACCGAGGGTCCGATTCACGTCATATGAAGTCCGTTTTTAACCAAATTTTACAGGCACAACTTAAATACCATATTAGACCTGTACCGGGATCCGAAACCAAAATACAGGCCCGATACCATCAAATTCAAACATCTTTAAATTCCCAAAAACTCTTATAATTTCAGTTAAACAATTTTCTTCAAAAATTCATTTCTCGGGCTTGGGACCTCGGAATTCAATTCCGGGCATACGCCCAAGTCCCATATTTTCCTACAGACCCTCCGGGACGGTTAAATAACTGGTCCGGATCCATTTACCTAAAATATTGACCGAAGCCAACTTAAATTCAATTTTAAAGGCAAAATTAGCATTTTTATTTAATTTTCACATAAAAGCGTTCCGGGTATACGCTCGGACCGCACACGCAAGTCGAGGTAAGACAAAAGGAGGTTTTAAGGTCTCAAAATACAGAATGAACTTTTAAAACAAGTGATGACCTTTTAGGTCATCACAATTTCTAGAAGACCGAAAGATCTTTTAATTTTCAAATTCTGATATAAGTCCTTTTTTTAATCACAAATAAGACATCTGAAAACTTTTGTGGTATATGATATCTTTATTTATTGAGCTAGATAATGGAAACAACATTTATTATGTTCAAAAAGTTTTGTTTAACTTTTATTTTATAATTATTAGTTTTTTTTAACTTTTTTTTGGTAATTAATTTTTATTACCGGGAAAAATATTTACAAATATAACACAAAAACTCTATCACTATCTACCTAGATTTGGACATGCAGCCCCAAACCTAGCATAAATATGAATTATAAATATGAAATCAAGACTTTAAAGTATATTTTTTTAAAATAATTAAAATGACTTTAATTTAATTAAATTAAATCAATTAAAAAGATTTATATTTTTACTATAACAATTATAAAATTGACAATATTTTTTAATCAACAACCATAGTACTGGTCATTATAAATGGAAATAATTTGATTTAACTGTTGGCAAACATAATAAAATTTTAATTAGTAGTTTTTGTTTGTCAGCTAAAAATTGATCTTATGGTATTTTGGTAACATAAAAAATTTAGAGTGAAAATAAATTGACAACAATTGAAGAGCGGCAAGTTGTATTTTGGTATTTTCGGTTTTATTCTATTTCAAAGTTGTATGAAAAAAGAAGCGGCAATGTTCCCTCCTTTTCTTTTTTGTGTTCTCAAGTCCCTCTTTTTAGTTGAGTAGTGCCGCCTCCCATTTCTCAATTCTCCTCCATTTCTCTCTTAATTCTTTGTGACATTCATTTCTCCATCAAATTATTGCAACAGTTAGATCTACTATATTGCTTCCATTAATATTTTATTTCTTTCTCTTTCACACACATAGATCCTCTTGTTCAATAATGCTTAATTTTCTCCGAAATCTTTTATTGATTTAATAGCATAAATGATCAAATCTGTGTGATGGGCATTTTAAGACGCAAAGCCACTTCTGGCGCCTCCTTTGCTTTGATACAATTCCTCAAGCTAAGTTAAGAAATATTATTTCTACTTCAATTTTTTTTCTGTTGCGTCTCTCATACAGAATTCTTTTTCTTTCAATTGTAGGGCAATTAAAATTTGGGTTTCTCCAGATGATATATTACGTGTATGTATTTGTGGGTTCTTATTGATTTAATTCTATTGTAGAGGTATGAAGAAATTTGTCTATTATTCTTTATTTTTTGAGAGATTAAGTACTCTTAATTTTATATCTCTTCTTCTTAATTCTTGTGGTTATTTGCGGTCAAAGAAATTAATATTTATTGTCTAACTTCGAGTAAGCATCTTTCTACCAGTACTAATTTGTCATTCTATTATTTGCTTCACTAATTAAAAATATGATATGTCATTTTTTGGCTAAATCTTGTTCATCAAAAAGTATGTACTAAAATTATTTTTTTCTTCAACAGGTACATGAAAGTGTAAATTTATTCAAGAGCAACTTTACCAGACAAGTGGTTACATTAGCGTTTGAGGAAGCAGTTACTAAAATTATTTGTATTTCGATTCGGCCCCATGTTGTTGAATAAATTTTATTTTGTTTCGGTGTTTTAGTTGACGGAGTTTGTAATGAATATTATCTCAATGTAGTATTAGTTCTTAATTATGTGATCGTCGGTGAAAATTTTTGTTGTTACCTTCCATTTTTACTATATTATTTCCATTTAGTAAATGATAAATTCTGGAATTAATGGGAAATTAGATAAATACTACTTATAAATAGTAGCACTGCGGATTTTAATGTCATCAAATATTCATCAAATTTTAGTGACAAAAATATTATTTGTCTGAGAATCATCTTTTTAGTAATTTGTATTTTATGATTATTTTAATTTTAAATAATTTTGTAAAAAAAAAATTATTTTTAGTGACGACATAATAGTTTTCAACTACAAATTGTAAATTATTCTTGTAAAAGCAAAGATGTCACTATTTTATATATTTAGGGACGAAATATTTTTTGTACATAAAAGGTAGTCTTTAATTACAAAATAACATCGATTGAACTGCGAAATATACATAACTTTAGAGACATTTGATAACGTCACTAATTAAACTAAATAGTTATCGACAAGGTAGTTTCGTCGGCATTGATAATCTTTTTAGTGACAAAAGCACGCTATTAACGACGAAAATTTTATACTTTTTTCTGACGAACAAGTTCGTCACAAATACTAGGCATTTGGGAACGAAAAAAATTTTCGTCCCTGATATAACTTGATTTAGTGACGAACCACCAAATTGTCTTTGTATACTTTTGGTGACGGTGTTTTAGAGACGAAAAATTGACGAATTATTTTTTGTCTTAAAAGATTTTTTGTGACGAAATATGACTTTTAAATGACAAAATAATTCGTCATTGATAATCAAATTTGTTGTAGTGGTCCTTTACGTAAAAATTGACTTTTTAGTGCTATTTATGCTAGTACAAATATACTCAATAGAAATAAGATTTGGGATAATCTTGAGAATATTAGCAATAATTATAATGGTCCTTGGTTAGTAGGGGGAGATTTCAATGATGTTTTAGGAGCAAATAAAAAATTTGGTGGCAATTGTATAAAGGACAGTAGGGCAAATTATCTTTGGTCGAAGATTAACAATTGCAACTTAATTGACTTAGGGTATAAAGGGTGTAAATATACTTGGCCCAACCATAGACATAAGAATAGGGGTCTCATTATGGAAAGGTTGGATAAGGTATTAGGTAATGAGGGATGGATTAACCTATTCCCAAAAAGTTCCATTATACACCTCCCTAAGACCTATTCGGATCATAACTCTATCTTAGTAGAATTAATCCCTAAAAATAATCATCTATACTAGCCACCCTTTAGACTTGAGACCTACTGGTGCAAGCATCCAGAATTCAAGTCCCTAGTGCAAAACAATTGGACAAATACTGACTATAATAGGGCTAGCAAAAATTTCATAGAAAAAGTTAAGGTTTGGAAACACCACACTTTCGGGGATACAATGGGGAAAAAAAAGAAAGATCCTAGCCCGCCTTCAGGGTATTCAAAATTTCAAGCACTATCCTTATAGTACCTTCCTCCAAAACATAAAAACCAATCTCAAAAAAGATTACAATGATATGCTAAAAATAGAAGAAGACTCTTGGAAATTAAGGTCAAGGGTTATGTGGCTAAATGATGGAGATGCTAACACTACATTTTTTCACATCTCTGCCTCCAATAGAAAAAGAAGGAATAAGATTAACTTCTTCAAAGATGAGGCTGGAAATTGGATCAATGACCCTCATCTAGTCACCTCTCACGTTTGTAAATTTTTCACTGATATTTTTACCACTTCACACATTAATTCTAGTCGAGTTAGCCTACTGAAAAACATCTCTCAAAACTCCTTAAACCTTGATTGTCTAGATAATCTCTTGCTTGATATTGAAATAAAAAAGGCTCTATTCTCCTTTAAACCTTTCAAAGCACCTGGATCGGATGGCCTCCACCCTTTCTTTTTTCAAAAATACTGGGATATCATAGGACCCTCCGTAATAAAACTCTGCCATGACATTTTTAGAAATCAGGAAATCCCCCAAGATATTAACAAGACTTATCTATGCCTAATTTCAAAAATACCCAATGCCAACAATATCAAAAATTTTAGACCTATTGATCTATGTAACACCATTTACAAATTAATCACAAAAATCTTAGCAAATCGCCTCAAACCATTCCTTGACCAGCTTATTAGTCCTTGTCAAGCTAGTTTTATAAAAAACAGAAGGGCGTCTGATAATGCTATTATCGTACAGGAACTAGTTTCAAAAATCCATAAACTAAAAGGAAAACAACGTCAAATGCTCCTTAAAATTGACCTTGAAAAGGCTTTTGACCGGTTAGAATGGTCATTTGTTCATCACACTTTAACCTACTTCAATTTCCCTCAAAATTTTAAAAATTACTCTTAAACTGCATCTCAATTAGTTCCATAGCTGTACTAGTTAATGGCTCAATTAGTACATTTTCTTAAACCAAGTCGGGGAATTAGGCAAGGGGATCCTATATCTCCATATGTCTTTATCCTTTGTCTGGAGATGCTGTCAAGATACATAAACCATCAAGTCGACGTTAGAAATTGGGATCCAATTACCATAGGAAAGGAAGCCCCAATTTTTCACATCTCTTCTTCGCGGACGATCTAACCCTAATGGCTAAAGCCAATATGAAATCGTGCCATGCAATCCAAAAAGGCTTAGACATTTTTTGCAATCTTTTAGGGCAATGTATTAACACCTCCAAGTCAAAATTATCTTTTCCAACAATTGTCCCAAAACTCTCATGAAAGAAGTTACCAATACTTTGAGTATAAAAAGAAGTGATTCCTTTGGTACATATCTAAGCTTCCCTATATTAAGCAAACACCCTAGACCAAAAGATTATCAATTCATAATTGACAAAATGAGAGCCAAACTAACGGCTTGGAAAATAAAATTTATCAATATAGCTGGCCGGACAACTCTCTCACATTCTTGTTTAAACTCAATCCCTAACCACTACATGCAATTTACCCTACTTCCTACAAATATTCTTAATAAAATTGACAAGGTTCAAAGAGATTTTATTTGGGGAACTACTAGTGAGAGGAAAAAAATTCACCTCATTAAATGGTCCACCATTTGCCAACCAAAAAGCAAAGGAGGCCTTGGACTCCATAGGGCTAAAGACAAAAATCTTTGCAATCTTGCTAGCCTAGCCTGGAGAGCCATTACGACCCCTTCCACCCCATGGGCTAACCTAATTATTAGTAACTATGCAAATAACTTCAACGCTAGAAAAAATTCTTTCATATGGAAAAGTATGCAAATGGGATGGGAGTTATGTTCCAAAGGAATCATTTGGCAACCCCATTACCACTCCAAAATGAATATTTGGGAAACCAATTGGATTCCTAATATGGGGAGCCTTAGGAAAACAATAGAAGGACCCTTATTAAGAGAAGAGTGTACTCATTAAAAATAAGAGACATCTTTGATGGCAAAAACTGGCACTTTGACAATATTTCCCTCAATCTCCCCAAAGATATCACGGACACCATATCAAAGGTTAAAATCCATATTAAAAAATCAAATTGTGACATCCCTATTTGGTTTCTTAATACGAAAGGCTTCTTTGCAAGCAAAACTTGCTACACAATCATGGACACAAATGAGGGCAGGGAAACTGACTTTAAATGGATTTGGGACCTTGCATGCCCAAATAAAATCAAATTCTTCCTATGGCAATGCTTTCATAACAGAATACCTTGTAGACAATACCTAGCAAAAATTGGCCTAAACGTTGACCCCCACTGTCCTATAGTAGAGATCATACACAAGAATCCATACTCCATATTTTTTTCAAGTGCCAAGCCAGCAAACAACTTTGGGACAACCTTGGATGGCAAAACTCCTATAAGGAAGATAGTGATCATTGGTTAATCCAATTAAAGAATTTTGACTGTCCAATAAATAATAAATTTTTAGACTGAAATCTCTTTTACCCTTTTGCTATCTGGCATATTTGGATAAACAGGAACAGTAATAACCAAAACAATACAAACCACCCTATCAACATTAACCACATCATGAAAAGGGCTACTGAATTTCATCTCCTAACTGAAAAGAGTATTACTCCTTCACCCAAAATCCATATAAATGTTAAATGGCATAGCCCCCCAAACGGATGGTTCAAATTAAACATAGATGCAAGTTTTCACAAAAATAGGCAAAATTGTGGCCTGGGTGGAGTAATCAGAAATGCTAATGACCACTGGATAGTTGGCTATACCAAATCAGCTCATGCACGTGGATCATTGCATGCTGAGATCAAAGCTCTACTACAGGGACTTAAAACAACCCTTAATTGGGGGTTGTTCCCTCTACAAATTGAAACAGATTCCACAGAGGTAATCCTGTCAATCCAACAAGGTAACAATCTTTATGCTAACACTGTCAACAAATGCAGGTTGTTAATGCTCCAACAGAAGCATGTAATCATCTAGCACGAGTTAAGGCAAGGGAATAAGGTAGCTCACCAGCTAGCACAGATGGCAACTGCTGATCTCAGGAGGAAAAAGAAAGTTTTTGTGGATCCACCAGAAGAAGCAAAAATTCTAGTAGAACGTGATTTACTAGAACAATATATTTTAGAAAACTTTTTTCTTATGATGCTTGTAAAACTTTAGCAAGCTTAGGTAATCAAAGTGTACTGTGTGACACTAACTATGTATCTCATGCACTGCATGTTCCTTATATATATATATATATATATATATATTTCCTATTTGCTCAAAAAAAAAAAAAGTTGAATTCATCGGTAATTACTTTCGCAAGTACTTTGTAACATCAGTTAGCTTTTTGCATAACTTTTTTTCTTTAACATTCTAATTTTAATTTTCAATAAAATTTCAAAACACGTCAAATTTTAAAACTTTGTGGGTGGAAGGCAGAAAATGACTAGTAATAAGCCGGAGAAGGCAAAGCGACGACTGTTGTATCCACGTAGGCCGTCGGACATGGCGGTGGATTTGTCTTGGGACTTGACAACACTAGGGGCCGGCTTGGGTCCCACTTGCTGAGTTTTGACTGTTTCCCGAGCTGACTCTGGACCCGTCACCGGCGCCGTTCACGGCTTTCCGGCTAACCCACTTAACTGCACGTGGATTGACGTGGTCCTTTTTCACGATTATGTTCAACACTGTGATTTTATGAATATATTTATTTTAATAGCAACTGCTGCTAATAATTAAATTAAGGTTTTAAGTTATGGCCGAGAGAGAAAAGTGGAATTGGAATATGTGAATAGGTTTTAAATGTTTCATTATTTTTATAGCCAGTAGTATCTCTTTTGTAAGTTTGTTATATTAGGAGCGGACTGTTTTGGAGTTTAGTGTGACATTGAATTTGCGCTGATAATCATAGAAAATGGGAGGGAGATGTAGTAGGCCATTCAGAAAGCAGTTTATTTTGATGCCTTAAAATGAGGAAATAAAGCTTCACTATTAATGGATTTGGTACATTAGGTTCCCTAAGGTCTTGTTATGATCCCTAAAATAATGTATGTCCCGTTTTCCGGTCTCTAGCTAGTATGAATAAATTACCTGCTATACCAAACAAAAACACAAAACTAAAGTTAAGATGATGTCCTCTAACCAAATTCATATATTATATCAATTATTGCGGAAGAACGTGGGTTAGTTGGCACACAATCACACATAAAGCAAATAAAAAAGTAATATAAAGATTTAATGAGGTTCGACTAAGTTTAATATTCACGGCAGAAGTAAAGAGAGTTTTCCACTATGAGAGAAGACAAATGCAATAAAATCTATAGAATCCCAACTAAAACCCCTATATATAGATCCCAAATAGTCTCAAACCTTAAGAGAAAACTTTTTCCAATCCGACAAGGATAATAAGTTTTCCTTTCCCAAATCTATTAGAACAATGGGTTTTCCAAACCTATATGGATTATGAATTTTCTAAAAATACAAGGAAATAATTCAACAGATAAATAACAAATCTTTCTCTTGGCTTGAATTCTCTTCATCAACAGCACCAATGTCTATTTGCCTTGCCCCTCAGCCCTCACAGGGGCTCTATCCATTGTTGCACACATCAACCAAGTCTTGGTAATGCCTAAACTTGTTAAGAGACCCAATTTCTTCGGCCATAGCACTAATGTGTCGATGTGCGTCTGCACTCGAAATAGCTTCTTGATAGCTATTACACTCAAGGACATTAACAATATCTACAACTGCCAAAGCAAATACTATAGGTTTGTATATCAAAGAAGATTTTCATCAACTATGTTCGCAAACCTTTGTGGTCGATTGATCACTTTGTTTTCTCTGCATGTTGCAACGGTATACGATAGTTGTTGCACAAGTGCATTATTATTATCATATTGATCAATATTTTGCACCTCCTCCACTCTCCCTACTTCTGAACTACTAGGCTGAGCTAGTAGAGATTCAAATTCTAGCTCAATATGATCATTAATACCATGATCTATTTCTGTTATTACTTTCTCTCTTTGACCGTTCAATAAGGCAGATTCATTAAATGTCACATCCCAAGTGATAATTAATATCGAAGTCTTTTGATCTATTCACCACAACTTATAAACTTTCACTCCAGTCGCATACCTTAGAAATATGCACTTCTTTGCCCTCATCTCAAGTGTTTTATCCCTCACATGAGCATAAGCAGGACAACCAAATATTCCTAAATTTGAATAACCAGCAAGAGAACCGGACCATACCTCAAAAGGAGTTTTAAACTCAATAGATATGGTTAAAAATCTGTTGACCAAATAACAAGTTGTATTGATTGCTTCAGCTCAAAAATCCTTACTAACACATGAGTGTGAAAGCGTACTTTGTTCCCTATCATAAAATATTCTATTCATACGTTCTGCAGTATCATTTATTATGGTGTTCCAACACAAGTGTGGTATCACATTATACCCTTTTTGCTACAAAAATTATTAATCTCTGAATTGCAAAATTCTAATCTATCGTCCGTCCGAAGTTGCTTAATTTTTCTTTCGGTCTGCCTCTCAACCATCGTCTTCCATTGAATAAATGTCGAAAATACCTTATCTTTCATTTTCAGAAAATACACTCATACTATTCTTGAGTAATTATCAATCAAAGTTATAAATACCTAGAATCGCTCTTAGAGGGAACTCTATTTGGACTCCACAAGTCGGAATGTATATAATATAACTTATTTCTGGCCTTATGCTCTACCTTTTTATTGAATTTCACTCTTGTCTGTTTACCAAATACGAAATGCTCCAAAAAAATTTAAAGCTTGATTTTTTATCCATCCAACAAATTTTGCTTGCTTAATAAAGACAATCTAGCTTCATAGGACCAAGTCACAGTGCCACAAAAGAGACTGATTCAAGTTACTTTTTGCAGAAGCTACAACAACTTTCCCTTTAACTACACTAGCCTGAAGATAATACAATTTAGAATGCAGTTAACTCTTCATGAGTATCATGGAGCCTTTACACACTTTAAGTATTCTATTTTTAGAGTGGAATTAAACCTTTGATCATCCAAAGTCGAAAGAGAAATTAAATTTCTCTTTATCCAAGGAACATGCCAATACTCAATATTTCTGATAATTTCATCAAATATTCTCAATGTGATATTATCAATCCCCTCTATTGATAATGAACTATCACCTTCCATGTAGATAGTCTCGCTCGTCTGCTTGTAAGTTACAAACTAATTATTGTATGGACATATGTGGAAAGTAGCACCAGAATCAAGAAATCCTGCTCATGACCAGATCTCACGGCATAGACTTCCCCTATAGAGTTACAACCATCATGATTATTACTAGTTCAATAATATCTGCAGAATTATCTACTTTTTACATTTTTTCTTTTCTCTATCGGCTTAGGATAATCTCTCTTGTAGTGACCTTGCTCCTCACACTCATAACAACTCTGATTTTTTGCTATAGACTTTGATCTGGCTATTGACTTTTATCTATTAAAGTCTTTCTGTTGTGTTCTTCCTCTACTCACAATACCTTCATCCTCAGTTCAGCTTTCTGGAAAGCTCTTTTTTAGCTTTTTAGATTTTAGTGCATTACTAACATCTTCCAATGAAATATTGTCTTTCCTATATAGCATTGAATCAACAAAAGTATCGTAAGACAGTGATATATAACACAATTAAGGCACGATCTTTACTCTTAAATTTTGATATCTACATTCTTCAGATCCATTATAACTGAAATAAACCCATCAAGATGAGTTTTAACAGATATACCTCATTCATATGGAGATTGTACAACTTTTTTTAGGTAGAAATAATTTGTCAGCGATTTCTTAGAATACAGATCTTCAAGCATCTTCCAAGTTGTTGCTGTAGAAATTTCTTTAGCAATCTTCCGAAGAACTCTATCTGTAACGTTCATGAAGATCGTACTCAAAACTCACTCCTTTAAATCTGTCTTCTCTAACTCTTTCATCTCTTCAGGAAAATTCTCATCAATTGCCTTTTATAACCCTTGTAATACCAACGGCAATTTTTCCTTATCTCCCATACAATAAAACTAGATCCCTCATCAAAATTTTCTACGTCGTGCTTTGTTGAAGATGATGAAAACATATTAACCCTTGATTATATGTAGAAATTCGAGCCTTGTTCTGATACCAATTATCGTGGAGATCATGAGTTAACTACCACACAATCCCATACAACGTAAATAATGAAAAAAATAAGGATTTAATGATGTTCGGTAACGCCTAATCCTCAGGGCATAGAGGGAATTTTCCACTATGAATAAGAAGAAAAGCAAGTATAATCCATAGAGTCTACTAGTACAACATCCTAAATAGTCCCAAACCTATAAGAGAAAGCTTTTCCCAATTCGACAAGGACAATAAATTTTTTTTCCCAAATTTATTAGAATAATGGATTTTTCAAAGATTATGAGTTTCCTAAAAATACAAGAAAAAAATTCAAAATATAAATAAAAATATCAAGTTGATTCACATTCCTGAATGGGTAGTTCAATGATTAAAACATAAAAGTCTAACCTAGCTATGTGACCATTTTTTTCTGGTTGTGTTTTCCTTTCTTTCGTAGTAAATTTGAAAAATATAAAAATCTAGTTGATTCGTGCAGTAAAAGATACAACCAATGAATGAATTCATAACATAAAAATAATAAAAAAGGAAAAATAAAAAGAAAAAACTAGATCACAAGTTAAATGTACAAAACATTCTAATGATACACTATTGGACATTGTTGGTAATAAATCGTGTGATTTGCTGGGAGAACAGTCCGAAATTAAACAAGAACGTGAATATAATGTGAGATTGGTAAACTCAAGTGTAAACTCCCTATAGATCAAATCATCAAATCCTCAGATAAATTAGGAACATCAACAAATTCAGTAGGAACAAAAAATAAGTGACCGGCCACTACCAGAATTTCATGATTTGTATCACGATTTCCAACCGAAAAAAGATCTATGGAAGCCCGATAATGTTTTCGATAAAAATTGTTGGAAATTAATTAGAATTTTCAATTATAATTTTATTTTTGCAAAATATCGACCGCCTTTTCAACAGTAGTCGTCAGAAATTTTGTCGCAAAATTTTGTAAAACTATTTTTCTATCGAAAATGTCGGTTTTCCAAAAGTTGAAATTTTTTCTTTAACTAGTAGTCTGACTGGATCCATCTGAAACGTCCCTTAACAAGGTTTTAAACAGGATCCATTTAAATTCTTATATATATAAAACTTAATTTTAATTTTATTAAGGACTGACATGTCAGTCTGTAGCACGCTCTTTGGCCGATAGAGTTGGTCGAAAAGCCTTCTAAAAATCGCCCTGACCTTATTTTCGGGTTTTTCTCTTAACTCGGTCGAAAAGCTTTTTATAAATCGCCCCTGACCTTATTTTAGGATTTTCCTCTTAACTCTCTCTTCTCTTTCTTTTTTTTTTTCTTTCCTCTCCCTTCTCTCTTCTCTTTCTTTTTTTTCTTTCCTCTCCCCTCCTTTCCTCTCCAACAACGGTTCGCCGAGGACGGCATCAGTAGTGGGCAGGGGACGATGCTAACAATGGCAGCAGACGCGTTAATTTCTTGTGTGTAGCAGAACTCAAACGGATCCAGCGACACTCAGTGGTACTCCTGGCGCGATAGCAAGGTAAAACAGATTTCTCTCTCTTTTACCATTCTTTAATTCTATTTTCTCTCCTTTTTTATCTTAAACTAGCCTATCGTTTCTCGTCTTCTTCTTTTAAACCTTATCTAAGCTATATTTTTATGCATTTTTTGTTCGTGGAGGAGGCGAAATGATGCGTATTACAACAGAGGAGTGGTAAACTTTGCTTGCCGAGTTGCACTTAGCCGTTGGAGTTAGTTTTTAAAGAAGGAGAAGTCTAGTTCTGTCATTAGCACTTAAGTTTTAGTGTTTTTACTTTACAAGTTTTTAGCATTACAATTTAGTCACTGGACATTTAGCTGTCGAGCAGATTCCATCCTCTGCCAATACAGTTATTGGCAGGACAGCTGGGCAGAGGAGCTCGTACTATTCCTTACTCAGCACTCTTATCCTTTTTATGATTTCATCACCTATATCTATTGTAATAGTTTCTAAGGTTTGTTATCAATGAAAATCTCCTAGTTTAATTTAGCATAGGTTAGCTAGTTTTCCTCTTCTCTTCCAAATATTACATTGTTCCATTGTTGCTGCATCATTTGGTATCAGAGCATTGCTCTTGGACTGCGAGTAATGGCTTCCAATATAAATAGCTTGGTTGATGCTGTCGAAAGGCTTTCGATGGAAATAGCAAACATCACGATGCAACAAAATCAGATAGAAGAGAATCATGATAAGGCCCTTAACGAGCAGAGGGAAGCACTACAAGCTTCACAAAGGCAGCAGGATAAGGGCACGAGCTCAGCTGAGCTAGATCTGGGTTATGAGTTATATTCACCAACAGTTAGACCATTCGAAGAAAATGGAGCACAAGTTATGGGAAGCTCCTCTAATCCACCTTCTACATAGCCATTAAACCACCCAAGAGTTACTGGACCTGGGATGATGTAGTCTCCATCAGTAGGTGTGGAGCCAATCTCAGAGGCACACCAACTCAACAAAATCATTCAATACTAGTACTAGGAGGGTACAATGAAGCTGCTAACACGTGAGGTTCTCATGGTGTTACACACACAAGCACTCTATTATAGGGAAATTAGAGTTCCCTTATTTCGATGGTAAAGATCTCAGATCTTGGCTTTATAAGATTGAGCAATTTTTTCCCCTAGAAGAAATTCCTCATGTTTAAAAGATTAAGGTAGTTTCCATTCATTTAGTGGGAGTTGCTACAGAATGGCACCAAACTTGTATAAAAAGTAGAATGCACTTACCTTATCCTAGCTGGGACGAGCATTTGTATGCCTTAATCGACAGATTTAGTGCTGAGTATGATGACCCCATGGCTGAGCTTAAGTTGTTATTTCTAACTGGAGCTGTGAAAGATTACCAAGACCAGTTTGATAGGTCCATGAATAGGTTAGCCTTGCCAATGGAGTATGCCATCAATTGCTTCATAGCTGGTCTTAGGCCTGAATACAAAGATAATGTCAAAGCCCACAAACCAAATTCCTTACCTCAACTTACTACTTATCCATGTTACAAGAGTCATCTTATCAAGCTCAACACAGAACCATTTAAGACCTTTTCCTTCTCCCATCCATTTTGTAACCTCAAAGAACACCTCTATTGTACCATATTCAGGTTCCAACGCACCTTATAAACCTCCAGAATCCATCTCCCAGTGGAATAAGGGTAGAGGAAAAAAGCTGACACCAGTTGAGCTTAATGAGAAAAGACTATAGGGTCTTTGTTACTTTTGTGATGAAAAGTTCTTTCCAGGGCATAAATGTAAGACCAAAAAACAGCTACTTTTATTGGAACTGGAAGAAGGAATGGAACTTGAAAGTGAGAATCAACGGTTGTATGTAATGAAGGTTGAAGAGGTTCAAGAAGAGGAAGTCTGTGAGACCAGTAAGGAAGCTGAAGTGAGAGGAGAAGTTGATCCTGTAACCATCTCATTGAATGCACTCAATAGGGTAACTGACTTCCACACCTTGAGGGTCACAGGCTACACTGAGAAAGGACCTGTCAGTGTGTTGATTGACACAGGAAGTACTCACAACTTCCTTGATAGTGAAGTAACTAAGTTATTTGGATGCCAAGTTCAAAGAGTAAATCCTAAACTTGTTAGTGTTGCAGATGGTGGCACTTTGTATGCCGCTGAGCTATGTAAGGGGTTGATATGGATGCTACAAGGAACCACGTTCCAAACTGATTTATTGTGGATGACCCTGGGAACATGTGACATGGTGTTAGGAGTGCAATGGCTTCAAACTCTTGGAGATATCAGGATGGATTTCACCCAACTCACCATGGAGTTCCAGCTTTATGGAAAGAAGTACCTGCTACAATGTGATGATGCTAGGCTCAAGACAGTGGATGCTATAGCCCTAGGAAAGATGGCTGAAGGTAAAGCTCAATTATTCATGGTGAGAGTCCTACCTACAGAGGATTCTAAGGAAGCAAAGATCTCTCAATCTACGGGAATAGAACCAGGAATCAGGAACCTCATAGAGGAGTACCAGGTTCTGTTTTCAGAACCTTCTGGGCTTCCACCCTCTAGAGTATTATTCGACCACAAAATACCTTTAGAAGCTGGTAGCAACCCCATTAACATCAGGCCTTACAGGTAATCTTCAGCTCACAAGGAAGTGATTGAGAAGCTAGTCCAAGAAATGCTGGACCAAGGCATTGTTTAGCCTAGTTTCAGCCCATATGCTTCGTATGTGGTTCTAGTTAGAAAAAAGGATGTTTCATGGAGACTTTGTGTAGATTACAGAGCTTTAAACAAATCTACTACCAAAGACAAGTTCCCAATTCAAATCATTGAAGAGTTGTTGGATGAACTTGGTGGGTCTAAGGTGTATACAAAAATTGACCTCAGGTCAGGATACCATCAGACAAGGATGGACCCTGCTGATGTAGCCAAGACAGTATTTAGAACTCACTCAGGCCACTATGAGTACTTGGTGATGCCATTTGGGCTCACCAGTGCCCCTTCCTACTTCCAAGGCCTTATGAACCACATCTTCAAAGAATACTTGAGAAAGTTCATCTTAATATTCTTTGATGACATTCTAGTGTTCAGCAAAAGCATGGAGGAGCACCTGGTACACCTTAAGTTAACCTTTAAGTTACTAGTGAAGAACAAACTCTTTGCAAGGGAAACCAAGTGTTCAATTGGAAGCATCATGATTGAATACCTTGGCCACTTCTTTCCTGATGGTGTTGCTATTGATCCTAGAAAAATTGCTGTTGTGCAAGACTAGCCTGTTCCAACTACTATTAAGCAGCTAAGAGGGTTCTTGAGACTAGCTAGATATTACAGAAGGTTTATACAAAGATATAGGGTGATTAGCAAACCTCTCACTGATCTCTTGAATAAGGACAGTTTTCATTGGAGTGATAAGGCCACACCAGCCTTTGAAGCTCTAAAGACAGCCTTGGTCACTGCTCCTAAATTGGCTTTGGCTGATAGCTCTCAGCAGTTCATAGTTGAGACTGATGCTTGTGACATTGGGATAGAGTAGTCTTGATGCAGAAAGGATACCTTATAGCCTACATAAGTAAGGGACTTTCTCCTAGGCATCAGACCTTATTAGTATATGATAAGGAACTTTTGGCATTGGTATTGGCTATCACTAAATGGTCACAGTATTTTAGAAGAAGGCACTTCATAGTAAGGACTGATCAGAAGGCTCTTAAGTTTCTTTTGGAGCAAAAGCTACACACAGGTACTCAAATGAAGTGGATAGCTAAGGTCATGCAATTTGACTATACTATTGAATACAAGAAAGGAAGGGAGAAAAAGGTTGCTGACTTTATATCTAGACTGCCTGAAGCTGAGCTAGCAGCACTACATATCAACAATGATGGGGCAGTCTTGTTCCAAAGAATCATTGAAAGCTGGCAGAATGACCCTGAGTTGCAGGAACTGATCAAGAAGATACAGAGCAAGGAAGAAGGGAACAATGGTTATTCTTATGATAACCAATAGTTAAGGAAGAATGGGAGGCTAGTTGTGGGAGATGATGCACAAATCTGATTCAGCAATGGCATGACCTAACCATAGGAGGTCACTCAGGAATCAACAATACTTACAGAAAACTAGCATCTCTGTTCTATTGGAAGGCATTGAAGGAGGATGTTACTTCAGATGTTAAAAAATGTGTTGTCGGCCAAAAGAGCAAATATAATAGCTCTCCTTACCCAGGTCTGCTCCAACCCCTGGTCGTTCCCAACACTGCTTGGTTGTCAAGTATTAGCATGGATTTTGTGGAAGAACTACTTAGGTCCAAAGGTAAGTCAGTAATTTGGGTAGTGGTAGATAGGTTAACCAAGTATGCCCATTTTGTGGGAGTCTCTCACCCCTATACAGCTGCAGTGATAGGGATCCAATGTTTGTTAGTAAAGTTTGGCAAGGGTTTTTCCGCTCATGGAGTTACTTTGAGCACTTCTACTTCTTATCATCCCCAATCCGATGGGCAAACTGAGGTTCTCAATAGGTGCTTGGAGACCTACCAAAGATGTTATTCTTCTGATGCTCCATAAGATTGGTACTCGTATTTTCCCCTCGCTGAGTGGTGGTACAATACCACACACCATTCTGCTACCCAAACTACCCCTTATGAAGCTCTCTATGGACAACCTCCTCCTATACATTTGCCTTATCTTCCTGGAGATGCTGTTGATGAACAATTAGACAGGAATCTTATTACCAGAGAATTCAAGACACAACTCCTCTAGCATCACCTTAATTGAGCTCAACAAGGTGTGATCTCTCGGGCTAATCATCACAGGTCAGATAGGCAGTTCCAAGTTGGTGATTACGCCAAAATATATTCATTTATAATGGTTGACTGAGATATAGAAAAACCGTCATTTGTTACCAATACAGAAGGATCGCGCTGCAGCTTCCAAATGAAAGGACATAGTAAAATACTAATTACGCAATTAAAGCTTAGGAAAGAAATAAAAAAGGGGCAGAAAGTGTAAACAATAATTCATAACAAATATGAACGTGTTATAAATACAATTATATTTATGGTGAATGTCTATATTTAGAGAGATTTTAGGGTTCATTGCTTGGTGGCTAAGTCACCCTCTCCCTATAAATAGAGGGTTCTATTTTATTGTAATTCATCCTAAATCAATAAGAATTCTCTCCCTCTACTTTTCTCTGTAATACTCTTCTTCTTCTTTTATTGTTTTATAACACGTTATCAGCACGAGACTCTAACCAATTGAGTAGAAGCTTTGGGATTGAGCATAATGATTGTCAATTATTCCATGAACTTCCTTCATGATTAAATTCTGGATTTAAGGTAAGTATTTTACCGTATTTTTCTCTTTTATTCTATACTTTGATTTTATATACAAGCAAAGACAACAAAGTTTGATTATAACTCTAATGGGAGTTTGTAAGAAATTATAACCACCTGAAGTGGTAAAAGTTTCTATGTCTTGCCATGATCAAATTCATGTATGATTATGGGCACAAAAAGTGGAAACACGTCCCATTGAATTTGCTCCGTTCTCATTCCCTTAAGAGAATATGATAGCAGTATGTGATAAGTCTGAAAGAAGACAAAATTATCACTATGAATGTATCAATGGATGTGGACGTGGCAATAGACGAAATTATATTCGTCATCATTGTGATAATGAGAATAATAAGGATTCCCAAAATAATCCCCCACTTGTGAAAATATTTGTCATCGATTTGACATGAGATTTTATAAAGCACATATAGATGATTATGGTCTATTCATGATGTGAATGTGACAACATCTGATTTAAGAATACATATTCATTTTTGGAAGAATATGAGCGTGCTATTGGTATATACCACACTCACCTCTAGAAGGAGGTTTGAGATGATATAAGAAAATAATGTCATTATTATGGTATGAATGGTCATTGGTCACGTACCTATTGTACGCATAAATATTTTGGCATTGTGTTTGTTAAAAGACAACGGTAATGCAAGAAACAGATCTTGCATATAATTTTGACCATAACCATAATGGTATAACTTTCTCTTTAAAAGAGATATTCACCATATGGGTGTTGATGAATATGTGGTACTACAAAATTAATTGAGAACTCTGCAAGAGCCAATTATACTATTTTGGAGAAACACAATTAATTGCCAATAAGGTATTGTGTTGTAGTAAGTCTCAAAGAAACTTATTCAGTTTCCAAAGTATACGCGAAAGCGGTTGATTATATTGAGACTATAAATAAAGGAAAGATTTAATATCTTCTATTATTACAACTTGTAGCGGGGTAATATGTATGTGAAAAGCTACCCGCTTTATTCTCCAATTTGTACTACATAAACAAAAGAATACCACAATGAAGTGGATATTTATTGATATAAAAACCCTTATCATAATAAACTTGGAGTTTATTCATAATTACACACATCATGGTGTAAACCTGAAGTTTATCAATATTGATAATTTATCCAGTTGGCATACTTGGTTTAGCCATGTTAATTCATGTATGATGCGCAAAAATAATAGAGAATTCACATGGGTAAATATTAAAGAACTAGAAAGTTCTTTACGAATTCTCTTATATTGCTTGTTCTCATTAATTAATAGATCAATCAAAATTGGGATTGAACCTCATAAATGCTGGTAATATCAAAGGTGAATATGGGCCCATTCACCTGCCATGCATACCACATAAGATGCATCTATGAGATGGTTACATGTGCTATTATTATTAACCCGCAACATGATGTTTGCGAGGTAACTTGCTCAATAATTCAATTTAGAGCATATTCCAGATTTTCTATTCAAGAAGTTCTTCTTGATAAGTTGGTCTACATCACAGCTGGTTTAGCAAAATGATTTATTGAGTGCCTCCACTTAATAGCTAAACAATTACTTATGAGAACAAACTTTTATATACCAGTTTGATATACGTTGTATACGAAAGTATATTAATTTCTCCCCTCACAAGTGGTTCATGTTCAGGAACCAAATAATTTCATCTTATTATTATTGATGTGCGGTGTATATTTTGATTAACACCATAACGCACAAAGATGGGTTCTCAAAGTTGAGAAAACAAGTTAGTTTTTCTAACATGAGGGGGAGACATGATAAACAGTTGAGAAAAGGTTACGTGGAATGAATTATCATTTATACATCTAGATCCTCGAATAAGATAATATGAACTTGAAGTTCATAAAAGGATAATTCAGTTGCAATATATTGCAAAGCATGCCAGACGCATTTGCTGACCCAAAGAAAGTAACTATATTCTCATTGCAAATGCTCCTATTAAGTCCTAGAAGGACAAAGTCTATGATACGCTTGAAGCATATAGACAAATCGGTTTCAAATAAACTTCTTGATAAAGAAGATGAGCAAATGATCTAAATGATCATAATAAAGGAGGCAAGTTCTAGAAGATCACATGACATAACACTTCATAAAATCTCATGAGAGATTCAGGTACCTGAATATATGAATGAAGAGATCTCTATGTTATGTCTTTATGAAAAATAAGGAGGTTGGAACCGATATAAAATGTTTGTCGACGACATCTATAATAGCGCTAAATATATATGAGGATCTTAAGTCTAGAGAAACAATTCAAATAGAATTGGTTTCATATGAAAGACATGTAGTTTTGGACATGTAGTTCAAACACTTGAAAGTATCAAGTCAATGGTATGTGCAATCAGTTTTGGGTATCTTATATGTCTAGCATGACATGAAAACTCGATATGCATCAAAAATCTATTATATGACTTATACGACTTAACTTATATGACAATCCATGAAGGATTTAAATCGCTTGAAGCATATATAATTCTTGATCTTGAAGTACTACTTCCTCAGTGCAATTTGTGCACAAATGTATCTTGCTATAACTATATGCATGATAATATGATAGCAAGAGTTTCACCTCTATGTGAAGATATTGAACTGAAGATTCCAACAAGATCATATGACGACAATTCATCTCTATCAAGAATGATGATTTCAAGGTGCGATATATTCATTCAAGTTAATATGGCTGATTTGTTTATCAAATATCTACCAAAGATCTTTTGAAGATGGTGCACAAGATTGGAATGCAAATGCTTAAGGATGTGAAGTGATGCTCTCATGAGGGGGAGTTAATACGCGTTGTACTCTTTTTCCCTTACAAGGTTTTGTCCCACTGGGTTTTCCTTGCAAGGTTTTTAACGAGGCAACCGAAAGGCGTATTATTAGATATGTGTACTCTTTTTCTTTCTCTAGAATTTTTTTTCCACTGGGTTTTATTTTAGTTAAGGTTTTAACGAGGCACATTATCTGTTGAATAGACATTCAAGGGGGAGTGTTATAAATACAATTATATTTATGGTGAATGTCTATATTTAGAGAGATTCTAGGGTTCATTGCTTGGTGGCTAAGTCACCCTTTCCCTATAAATAGAGGGTTCTATTTTATTGTAATTCATCCCAAATCAATAATAATTCTCTCCCTCTACTTTTCTCTGTAATACTCTTCTTCTTCTTTTATTG